GTAATACATAATATTGTATCTCGTAAAAATAACAAAATTTGTAACAAAAAAATCTATACTAGCAAACGTTGAGCTTGAAGAAAAGTGTAATTCATTTATTGAAAACGTTAAATATCAAATAACTCAATATGGAGCAGAAAATATTTACAACAGTGATTAAAGCGGATTCCAGTTAGAATTGCATGCCGGTCGTACATTAGCATATGAAGGAACAAAAAGAATTGAGTCTGTAGTACAATCTAAAACACCGGAGTGACCTGGGACATGATTTTGCATGGACAGATGCACAGATATTAGATAGCGAGCAATCTCATCATAAGAAGCTCATTTCCGAGATGCTGCACATAAAGATGCAAAAGAACGGTATAAATTTAATGAAAGACACGGACCTGTTGGATCCTATCTATTCTTAGTTAATCTCAAAACTGAGTTGATTCTATGTCTTGTGTTCTCTTCCCCTTCTCACGCTTAGCCTCACCTCTTCCGTTCTTTATGTTTTCTTTGCATTTGTATTTTACCCGTTGCGTTGAACGGTTGTCGCTGTACTGTGATTGTTGTTCGAGAGATTTCAACGTTTTGACTAATTTGCCAATTATTCTGTGAGTAATTATCATGACCTTTCATTGACATCTCTTTTTTATGACTACTTTTATTTATTTGGACAACATTTATATAATTTTAATTTATATTTTTTTATCAAATTTGACTCAATGACTTAAACATCTTTTCTTTCAATGTCTCTTCATATTATTATTTTTTCACTTACGTTTCGCGTTTCTAAGTTAACATATTAAAAGAACAAAAAAATTTTTTTCAAGTAAAATCGATACGGAGACGAATTAAACGATCAACAATTCCTATCTTTATCGTGGTGGTTTTTGACTTCTCTCCTGCGACGTCACAATGTAGCGACCTCTGATTTATATTTATTTTTATTAAGGTGTGTATGCGACCTTTATTCGACATGCTGTCATATTGTAACGATTTTTGATGTTTGTAATAATGTGTATATGCGAATTTTAATATTGTAGTTATTTATTTTCATGTTTTCTTGCTCAGCTCGGCTAAAGATGATCTTACAAGAATAAAGATCGAAACGTTCCATGTAATTCATCTTATTATTCATTTAACTACTGCGATCCTTAGTTCGAAGGCTGGAAGGTCTAACTTATTTATTTTTTAAATCGTTTACGGCCTTTCTTTTCAAATTTATAATTCTATTATTTATACCGGCTGGAACAACAGGAAACATACAACCATTAGATGTATATGGTTTTTGTTTGTGGAAAAATTTCATTAAACACTTTTCAGATATTGTAATGCTTTTGAATCTCGAAATAAATCTTCACGCAAGAAACAATATTTTTAAATTACAATCATTAACTCATGGTCAGTTTTCATCGCCTAGATTTAGAAATCTATTTTGATACGCATGGCATAAAAGCGGGTATGTGGAAAATAAATCGGAAGAATTTGAAACACTAGTAGAATATTGTTTCAAAAATCAGTTAAAATCGACATGTGATATTTGTGGCTCAACTGCAATAATTACTTGCGCATGGTGCAAAAAATCGCTTTGCATAAATCATTTCTTTCACGAACATCACCTTTGTGATACTTATGTATATCCATAAATTCACTTAATATTTTTAATATATGTTTTTTCTATACATGTTCACTTGTGAATATATGTTTATGTTACTATATTCTGTAATGGTTAAATATTATATGTTATACTTATATATTATGTTGTATGTTCTTGAAACTAGAGTTTTAATTGTTTTATTACACACACACCCACATTACATTCATTTTACAATTAACACTAGATATACCAGCTATTTAAATATACCTATTAAAAAATACAAAAAATATATTTGTTACNAATATATATAAAGTAACATTAAGTTCATAAAATGTATTCTTTACTTATAGCTACAAAAGTCATAACATCATTTCGGAAAGCAAATGTTACATGCAGTAGGAATTTTGAATTGAAATTGCACGACCAGTCAAAATGATTGGTCTGATAAATCTAGTCTGTTAAAAAACCTAAAAACACAATAAACACAAAAGGGAATGTTCTTACTATTGATTAGAACCTGTAATTAATTTAAATTCTTTGTATTAATTAATATTGAAAAATAAACAGAAATTGCACTATAAATTGAATTGTAACACTTCCATTTATTTATCTTTCAAATTATATTTCTTTTTATTTCTTACGTGTGAGTGTGTATGTAATTAGTATGTTTTGAATATCATCTTATAAAATCGTTAAAGCTAAAGTTATATTTAAAAATAATAGTACTAATTTATATGTATATAATATTATATGAAATTAATCTGTGTTAAATGAATTAAAAGTGTAAAGCATCAGTGGAAGAGATGTCTTAGCAAGGCTTTTAAACTTTGCTTTTTGCTTTGTGATTAGAACTTTATCCAATACGTGACTACGTGACTATCTTCATTCTTTAATTTTAGTATCGCCTATTACGATTAAAGCGCGATGTAAATGATGAGTCATGCAGCGCGACGCATATAATACGATATTGATGGTTTATTTCTGAAAGATGCGATTTTGAAACATAAGAAAATCATATGTGGTTGAATTCAGCGTAAAAAATGCTACAATTTTTCCGTACAAAAATTTTAAAAATTGAAAAAAATGACGGGCGGGGGTAAATAAAAAAATGTTGAATGAAAAATAAATCCAACTACGCGGTTGTAAAGCCTATAAAATACTATGCAACTTTTATTTGAAACATTTTTGTATATTTCTTACCGTTTTGATGATACTCGCATAAAACAAAAAAACCGGTTTTTTTTCGAAGGGGTGTATCACTCCCCAAACGTGCAAGAAAGCACATGAAAAAAATACGGGTCTCTTAATTTTAGCTACTTTACTACATATTCAAAGCTCATCAAAATCGGAGAGGGACACTTGCGTCACTTCCCTTGTCAGATATTTGAAACCATTTTGGGATGTCTATAAGCTGTACTAATCTGCTTTAGTAATATCTTTCGGATAACAGATGATGTCCAAATAATATTCGAGGGAACTCAAGAAATATCCCTCATGAGCCGATGAACAAGAGTAGGACACAAGTATGTTCTTCTAATGTCTAAAACGTGTCTTCTGTGTCCTAGATTTGTCTTTTTTGTGTCTCATTCTTGTTTTTTGTTTTTATATTGTACCTGCTGTATCTCTGCCCTCATGAGCCGATGGATAGGACACAGAGTTGTGTCCTTCTAATGTTTAAAACATGTTTTCCATGTCCTAGATCTGTCTTTTTTGTGTCTCATTCCTGTCCTTTGTTCTTATATTGTACCTGCTGTATCTCTGAGTACATCTGTGTCTTTAATTTGTCTTAATCTTGTCTTTTTTAGTCTTATTCTTGTCTTTAGCGTTGTCTCTATATTGTCTTTTTTGTGTTCTGTTTTTGACGAATGTCTTACGTACATATTTAGCGTTTTTTGTCTCTAATGTGTCTCGCAACCTGTTCTTCTTTTGGTTTAAAATAGTTCTTAGCGATGTTAGATCAAGAGAAAAATGAGACAGAAGATAATTCTGAGTCAGGCTCAGAAAATCAAAAAAGCAATGAAAATGAAACTCAGTGATGTAGCGGAATCTGTCACTGAAAACCAAAGCGATGAAGACAAGGCAAAAACGAAAGCAAACCTCAATGACATTTCAGTGTTGAATACTTCTTTTCTTTCAGATGAGAATTAGTAGAATCTCTGGCATTTCCATGTTGTCTCCGTAATTGAGAACTTGCTGCGGTTCATATATGTTGACTTGTTGCAGTTTATATATAGTGACTTTTTTGTTTAATTTTCTGTATGCACAAGAGATGTTCAAGTTTTTTAAATTTTAACAATTAATAATTAATAGAGAATCATCTCGGGCTCTTGAAGTATCAAACTAATAAATATCTACACAGACATCCATCCATCCAGACATCCATTAGACATCTTAGATGTCGCATGAAGCTATCGACGTCTAATAGACGTCTAATGGAGTTTTTGTTTTGTGTGAGTATATGTAAGTCCCGTCAATAAAAGCCGATCGTAGGCTGTTGTGCGGAAAACTGTGCGTATATATATGTATGCATACATTTATATATATGCGTTCACATATAAATTTTTCACGTAAGTTTTTGGAATTGAATTTCACTTCTTAAAATCACATATAGGATGCTAATTTTGCATCACATATATGAAGGACCTCGAATACCCTCCTAACTAATTTATAAAATATTACGAAAAAAACTCCTCAGCCAGGAGTAGAAAATTAGTTAGGGGAATATTCGGAGTTCTTTATATATATCCCAAGCAACCAGCTGACGTTGTAATGACGTAAATATACGTGATTTTTGTCACTAATTAGTGATTATGATCTAAATCTGACGTTATTTTGAACGTCATAACAATGATGTCAATATGTACGTTATACATATACGTCATATATGATGTAACTATTGGTCTTTAGAGTGACGTCAGTTGAAATGAGTAAGACGTCATAATGACGTTATTTAAATAATACGGTTGTTAAAAATTTGTTTTTGAGTATATATTTACGTATTATGTGTAAGATCCCACATAGCACGTAATATTACGGAAATATCATAGTAAGATTGCAATATAATATAATGCAATATAGTATAATATTAGGTATTATATTGTACAATACAATATACCCAGGCAACCAGCTGATGTTATAATGACGTTAATATAAAGTCAGTTTTTGACCAGTTCGACGTTAGTTTATGACGTGATATTAACGTAATGATGACGTGAGTTTGTCTCGTCAAAAATGACGTCATGTTAATGACGTTTACTTACGTCATTAATTTGACGTAACGTGATTAACGTGAAAAAAACTAATGGCANATCGTAAGAGGGGAATTAATTCGAGATTTCACTCAAATTAATCTTTGGAGACCTGATTCAGTTTGT